GATGAATATACATTTGCTATTGTTTTCAGATATTCTGAAATCGAACAAGTATTTTTGAATCTGGTTTGGATTCAGATCTATCATCACAGAATAATTTAAGGACAGATTCAGATTCTCTCATCTTTATACTTTGAGCTTAGCTTATTTCCTGTGTGGTGTTGTTTTGTGTTCTTCACAAATAATTACAACATATAGTAAAGTAAACCAACACAAAGTTATTAACCCTTAATCTGTGACAAACTCTCTGTTCTTCAGGTGTGTTTGGTGATTCAGTGGAGTCAGTGTCAGTGCTGGAGGGAGATTCAGTCACTCTAAACTCTGGTGTTACTGAAATGATGGACAGTGATCTGATTCTGTGGAGGTTTGGATATAACAAGACTTTAATAGCTGAAATCAATGAAATGACAGACAGCATCATTGTATATGATGATGTTCTTGATGAGAGATTCAGAGACAGACTGAAGCTGGACGATCAAACTGGATCTCTGATCATCACAAACACCAGAACTGAACACACTGGACTCTATGAACTAAAGACCAACAGTGTGATCAAGAATTTCAGTCTCACTGTCTATGGCGAGTTTCTTACGTTGTTAAAGTATACCCTAATTACATTTGAATCATTATTAAATTATAAATCTTGAGTGACACATTTATGTTTGACCTTTCAGCCTATTGAATACTTTCAGTTTGAATGATTATTATGAAGTCAGCGTCTCAAATTAAAGAAAAAACTGTAATCACAATAGTCTATTGTTTGTGAATAACATCACAAACTCTCTCTCAACACATCAAACACAGTCAAAAACAGCCTTCTTATTTATCAATTATATAATTTGATTTTACTCATGTTTTCAGCTCACCTGCCTGTTCCTGTCATCAGCAGTAACTCTTCGCAATGTTCTTCATCATCATCATCATCATATTGTTCACTGGTGTGTTCAGTGGTGAATGTGGGTCATGTGACTCTCTCCTGGTACAAAGGAAACAGTTTATTGTCCAGCATCAGTGTGTCTGATCTCAGCATCAGTCTCTCTCTACCTCTGGAGATGGAATATCAGGAGAAAAACAGCTACAGCTGTGTGCTCAACAATCCCATCAGCAACCAGACTCAACATCTGGACATCACTCAACTCTGTCACACATGTTCAGGTGAGATTAGCATTTATTTACTCATCTCAGTCTACTGGTCATGTGCTGAAAAGATTGGTCAAGGTGAAATACAGCCAGTCTCAATGAGAAGATTGGATGAGAAGAGTTGACCAATAGTTGTGCTTCAATACGTTCAGCTACACTAAACAGCACACAGTGTGTTTGTATCTACTCAGCCACTTCTTTATACCTGAACTTGTCAATAAAAATGGCTGCATTAAGAAGAGCTGCTTGGAAAGAAGTTAGCTGTGAGACAGAACTAAATGATATTAATCTACAGGCCAAAAACAGTTGATTAGCATTGATTCTTTACGTAGTCCACAACCTGGAATACATGTGGCTTTCACACACGCTTCACATTCGGTCCCACTTTCTCTGACTTTGCCTGGAAAATTTGACTATGCAAATGTGAATGTAAATGTGACACTGTAATAATGGTGGAGTAGAGGAGAAGGCAGGCAAAGAGACAGATCTAAATGCAAGAGGTTATTATTTTTTAAACTGAAACGCAAAACAAGAACCAAGAAACAAGGACCGTGGGGAACAGAAACACATCTACAACTGAAAAAGGGGAAACACAAGGGTTATATAAACACAAATAAGGCCCACCTGGGGGAAACAATCACCTGAGAAAAGAACTACAAACATGGCACTCAAGACCGGAAGTAACACAAAAGTCCTAACAAGACATTGGGAAGATGTAACAGTTGATATTAGTGTTTACTTATATTTACTCAATTGATTATAATGACCAGAGCTGATTTCAGTGATTAGACAATAGATCAGAATAGTTACATTCTGTTTCTTTATAAATGCATACAAACAATTCATTAAAGCATTATAGCAAACATCTGTCAAATTCACAATCAGAAACGGAATCAAAAGCATACAGTAAATTATGATGTCAACAAGTAAAGCAGCAAAAACTGAGAGGGATGTTCATGTGTCAATAGATCAGACTGACAGTTTCACTCACACTAATGATTTTGTCTCTCTATTATTACAGGCTCTCTGTATCTGATAGTGCTGATCTCTGTTGCTGCTGTGGCTGGATCTCTGTTGATTGTGGCTGCATTCGGGATATTTCTCACGTGCAGGAAATTTAGAAAAACTGATCAAAAAGGCAAGTTGTTTGGCTGTTATCTATAAAGTGACATTGGGCAACGCTCTTTACTCATGTAGTTCAGAAAAACAAATTCTGCATTTCTCAAAATGCATTAAAACACACCGGAAATACAGAAACAAGATAATGCAATTCTGCATTAATTTAATGATACAGTAACACAGAAACATAATCCTACATGTGTAAAGATGCAGCACTCAGCTGGCATTCACATTAAAATGTCTAGAATAACACTGTTTCACTGGTGGGTGGCATTTTATTTCAGTTTCAACTTATTACATTTCATCATACTACAATAAAATGTAAATTACTTTAGCATTTGTCTTGGTATGATTTATAAATTATCTGCAAAGAATGTCTATAAAGTTTATTTTCTGTATGAAATTCAAACTGAGTTCATTTGTTAAAGCCATTAAAACCATGTAATGGAGCATTAAACATGTTCATATCGCACAATTAATTAACCATTAAATGTGTGCATTAATGTTTTAACTTTGACAGCCCTATAATAACAACACGCATGTTGTGAAGAACCAGATCTAGTTGAGATTGAGTTGTTGTTGTTGTTTAATGCATCTATTATTCTTTTTCAAACAGTTGAGACTCCTGAAGAGATCACTTACATTGAGCCAACATT